AAAAAAAAAAAAAAAATGTCCCAGGCTCCTCTCCTGTGCTCCCTGCCCAGATCTCTGGGTGCTGTTTCTCCAAGAAGCCCAGTAAGAGATAGTATTTCAGGAATGAAATCTAGAAGTGTTCATTGTTTTGTATGTTAAGATAAGATTCCATGTAGATTCACTTTCCCGTACAAATTTGGGACTGACATTTTATTTACCTTTTTCTATGCTTTTCTGTGGCTCCCTCTTCCTCACAGAGAACACTGGTTTTGGTTTTTTGTTTTTTAAAGACAGTGTCTCAAGCTATCGTCCTGGGTAGAGTGCTGTGATGTCACAGCTAATGGCAACCTCAAACTCCTGGGCTTAAGCAATTCTCTTGCCTCAAGCTCCCAAGTAGCTGGGAGTACGGGGGCCACAATGCCTGGCCATTTTTTCTGGTTGTTGTAGTTGTCATTATTTTACCTAGCCCAGGCCAGGTTAGAACCCGCCAGCCTCTATGTATGTGGCTGACACCCTACCCACTGAGCTACAGACGCCACCCAGAACCCTGGTTCTTAATAAGGGACGAGTTGGAACACCCCACAGACAGGGGACAAAAGAATTGGAATACCTCATGTTACCCCACACAGTCTCAGGGTAACATACTTATGCTACCAGCAGGTGCAGCTCCTGAAGCAGGCCCATAGCACCATGGCACACATTGTCCCCAAGGCTTCCTGAGTGTACCATCTCCACTAAGCCCACTTGCCACACCACCCTTGCACTCACCTCCAACATTCTGGTTATCTGAGGCTACTTCATTTTTCAGCCCAGGAAGGACACAGCAGGGGCTGTGGTCCCCTGCTTATTGGCCTATCCACACCCTTGGAATCTAATGGCCAGTCCTCCTGGCCACACGCCACTTGGCTCACCTTTCAACGCCATTTTCTTCTGGCACAAAAAGTCTCAGGACAACCACCTTGATTGTCCCTTATTAGTCATTTGCTCTCTTGCCAGGGTGCCCAAAGGATGTGCTACTCTCTCAGTGATTTTAACAGAGTGCATCCTTGGCTTAGTTCTCAGCTACATCACTTGGCACTGTGATGTTCTTCCAGTATGTGTTAGTCTTTAAATGCCAACGATACTTTCTTGAATTATAGCTTTTACTATTTATCCTATTCCTTTGCTTTGGATTTCTCCTTCAGGCACTCTGCCTATCCACACATTGGATTTTCTCTAACTTCCTATTCTTTACTGTTTTAATCAATCCTCTAATTTCTTTCCATTTTAAAATGATCTTCCTGGGAAGATGAGTGGAGGGAGGGTGTTTGGTGGGACCACACTTATGGTTCATCTTACAAGGGTACATGTGATCTTTCTAAATATAGAATATAAATGTCTTAACACAATAACTAAGAGGATGCCATGAAGGCTATGTTAACCAGTTTGATGAAAGTATTTCAAATTGTATATAAAACCAGCACACTGTACCGCATGACTGCATTAATGTACACAGCTATGATTTAATTAAAAAATAAAATAAAATGATTCTCCTTTTCACCTTCAAATTTTTCTTTTTTTTAGAAACTGAGTCTTCCTGTTACCCCGGCTAGAGTGCCATTGCATCATAGTTCACAGCAACCTCATACTCATGAGCTTCAGTGATCCTCCTACCTCAGCCTCCTGAGTAGCTAGGACTACAGGCCCCGGCCACAACATCCAGCTAGTTTTTCTATTTTTAATAGCGATGGGGTCTTGCTCTTGCTCAGGCTGGTCTCTGAACTTCTGAGGTCAAGGGATCCGCCTACCTAGGCCTCCCAGAGTGCTGGGATTACAGGTGTGAGCCACCAAGCACAGCCTCCACCTTCATTTTTTTTCTTTTTAAGGCACAAGGTGTTTTTCTTCACTCATGAGCTTCCCCATTTAGCCCTCACTTTGGAATGACTTGGGCTTTCTTCTGTCTCTGCCCAGTGCCCTCATTCTGAGAATGCTGTTCTTCATGTGCCACACCAGCATGCACTCTAGACTTGACCTCGTGGAGGATGAACTTCTGGACTATCTGTGGAGTCCCAGTCTCTCCCTTGTTTTCTTCTATGTTAAACTTTTATTGTGGGTGGTGAGTTGAACTTAGTGTTTTCCTATTGCTCATTTTTATCTGTAAGTTTCCCTGTGCTTCAGGGAGGAAGCTGGGTCCAGGGTCCAGGGTCCAGGAAGCTGTTCTGATTTTGCAGATGTTTTTGCCTGCTCACCTGGATTTCCTGTCTCGGCCTACTGTCCCCATTTTCCTTCCTCCCCAATGAGGACGGCCATGCTCAATGTTGATTTCTTGAGTGGTGTCCCAGCATGGAGGGCGATTCTAAGACCCTGGAGCCCAGGCTGCTCCAGCCCCCTTGGAACTTCCACCTATATCCCTCCCCATATTGGTTTGAGCAAAGTACCTCCCACTTCAGCTGGGGGTCTCAAAGTGACCAGCCCCACTCCCCTGCCAAGCATTCCTGTGCACACCTGGTGACTATTCTGGGGCTCCTCCTCTGCTTCCTCCTGGCCAGATGCTAACTCCACAAGGCTTTGTTTATCCCCATCCAACAGTATTCTGCCAATTCATCTGGATACCTGAGGCCCTAGTAACATTCCCAGTATGGTCCAGGGGACTTGGGTTTTGCTCCCATTGCTGTTTTTTACATAGGAATTCAGGAAGATTAAAGGGCCACACTGCAGCTGGTGGTGTCATCCTGGACTCAGGCAGGGTTCCAAGGTGGATGCAGAGTTTGTTGGGAGGCCCCAGGGCCAGGTGAGAAGTGGCCACACCTTGGGTGTCCTTGGAGAGCAGGTGCTGGAAGGCACAGGTAAGTCAGAAGTCAAGGGAGAGACAGGTGAGGGATGCCTGGTGTGGGAAGGTCTCTCTGTGACCACTGGTGACTCAGCCAGGGAGGCACCTCTCCTTCAGCACCTCCAGCCTCAAGCACTGGCTGCTGACACTCCACCTTTGCCAGTCTTCTGGGTCTGGGGTCTTGCTCTTGCTCAGGGTGGCCTTTGAACTCCTGAGCTCAAGGGATCTGCCTACCTAGGCCTCCCAGAGTACTGGGATTACAGGTGTGAGCTACCATGCTCAGCCTCCACTATCCCCTGGGTCACCCACACCATGGGGATAGTGAAGTTGCCAGCTGCCCCTTCAGTCCAAAAACCCCAAGAGCCAGGCGGAGGAGCTGGACTTGATTCTGCCAATGGTGCCAGGTGGGGACCCGTCCTGATGTGCTGGGATGAGAGCCCCATTATTCATCTTCTCTCCACCTGGCAGGACACCTCTCAACACACCTGCCCCCAGCCCTGACATCCCTCCAAACAGGCCAGAGGAAAATGGACTACACAGCTGGGCAAACTCTGCTATGTCCACCCCCACCAGGCACATCAGGGGATTCATTTCTATTAGGTCACAGGAGGGCCACAGGTTGACCTAGCTTGGGATCCTCCAGTGCACCCTCTTTGCTGAGGCAGGGAAGTCACAAGCTGGGCCCTTCCGGGTGTCCGGGGGGGGGGGGCAGGGAGAATGGGCATGGATGGCGAATTGGACAAAGGGGTCTTGACATCCTCCTTCTATAAAGAGAACGAAGATCTGGATGATAATTTTTTTTTTTTTTTTGAGAAAGAGTCTTACTTTGCCCTCAGTAAAGTGCTGTGGTGTCACAGCTCAGAGCAACCTCAAGCTCTTGGGCTCAAGTGATTCTCTTGCCTCAGCCTCTTGAGTAGGTGCAACTATGGGCATCTGCCACAAAGCCCAGCTATTTTGAGATGGGGTCTCATTATTGTTCAGGATAGTCTCCAACTCCCAAGCTCAAGCAATCCACCCACCTCAGCCTCCCAGAGTGCTAGGATTACAGGCATGAGCTACCACACCCAGCTGGATGATTAAAATTAAAGATTAGTTTACTCAGAGAGAGCCATCTATCTTGGAGACAATCAAGTGTATTTTCAGGGACTGGGAACTATATGCCATTAAGGAATAACATTTTCTTAGGTGAGGTCAGCATTGTGTAGATTTGTTTTTGTAAAGAAAGAGTCCTTGCATGTCAGCATTTATGGGCAAAATTTAGGAAGGGTGGCATGGTCTCTAAAACACTAGAGGAAACGAAAGGGTAGAGATTAGCCTGTCTGTGCTGCCAATTGCTAGAGGGTAAGGGGGCCCCATCACCTGAATATATTTTAAATGTCCACAGTGAAAAAGATTATAAAATTAATTTGTGAAAGGTTAAAGAGCCAAGAACAGGACCGGGGGCAGGAGGTGGGGGGCACAGTAGCAGCAGAAGGCTGTGCTCCCGGCCAGGTGTGCCTTGGGGTAGCATGCAGCACCCCTATGCCCTGGGCAGAGAGTTCACCCCAAAACTCACTTTCTCCTCTGCTCATAGGGGCCTTCCTCATCCTCCTTCCATGGGTCTCAGAAGTAAGTGAGAAAGGGGCCAGGGCACTTTATAAGATCAACACCAACTTTCCCCAGGTCCTTGTGACCCTCAGGCCAGCTGGCAAACTCTGCCAAGGCTAGCACAGGAAAATCCCACTACTTGCAGCCCTACCACCTATGCTAGGAGAGCAGGCAGCCTGCAAAGTGGGAGGTGCTTGCTTCTTCTCAGCCTCTGTAGGATGGATTTGCTAACAAGTCCATACCTCATTCCCTGGTCTGAAGATGGCCCTGCCAGGAAAGCCCTGACTGGGGACACGGTCTCCACAGAGGGGTAGGGTTTTAGAAAATAAACCCTGGAACCCTACACAGCCCACAAATGCATATTCAACCCAAATAATGCTTTATTAAACAAATAAAACTTATTGCCAGTGTTTAAAAGATGAAAGATTTCATACAGAAACCCTAACAGGCAGCTTTTCCTGAGAAGTCAGCAACAGGGTGCTCCTTTGGTCCCAGCCACACCCGCCCCCACTCCCATCTGCCCACTGGTCAAAGGAGCTTCCTGCCAGGGAGGGGCAAGGGGCTGCTGGCACAGGGTACAATGTCCACCCCTCGGGGATGGGGCTGTGGGGAAAGAAAGGGGGCACAGACAGGCTGAGGCCCAAGACAGACAAAATCAGATTGGGGGGGGGATGTCCCACCCAGGACCATCCAGCTTGAGGAATTTGGGAGGCAGGGCAGGGTCCCTCTCTCTACAACTAGGAAGGTGGGGGTTGGGAGAGAGCTCAGGTAGTCCCAGGGGTCCAGGAGGGGAGTAACTAGAGGAGGCCCAGGAACTGGGGTGGGGGCCCTCAGCTGATAACTCCCCAAGGCCACCTCACCTGGGTTCTCATGACTGGCCATCTGCTGGTCCTCAGAATCCAGCGGCCCCGGAGACCAGGCCTCTTCCCGCAGTTCCATGTCTGGGTCCCTATGAGAAGGGGATGAGATGAAGAACACAGTTTATTAGACTGGACTGGACTGAGGGTCCCAGAGTGCAAGTGCCATGTGGTCCAGGAACCAGGAAGCACTTGGTAAAGCGGCCTGGAGCTGAATGGGACCTTCCAGGGGGAGGAGGGTGGTCTGGCTGAGGCCAGGTACAACTCAGGAAGAACTCAAGGGCTGACAAAGGCTATAGCCACCACCACCATTGTCCCAGTCCTGCCACTTACCAGGGAGACACAGGTGTGTAAGCAATACCACCCTCCAACCCCCTCCATTTCTTTGCAGGATAATGGATGACCATGGTATCATCCAGTGTACACAAAACCACACAAACGTGCAGCTCCGGCCACAGGTGAGGGTCTGGAATTGTGACAACATCCCCACACATTGGCTGGACCCTGCCCAGCCCCCTGAGTATGCTCAGCTCTCTGGAGACCTCATCCTCCACCTTCCACCCTCCACCCACAGCAGGGGCTGCACCTGTGAAGTGGATGGATGCCTCTACCCTGAACACCTCACACCTGCCTGTTGCATCTGCCTAGAACCCTCCAGTGACAGAGGCTTACACCTCCCTAGGCGCCACAGGGAGCCAGGGGGCCACAGAGGATGTGCCAGGTAGTTCACTAAGAAGATGTGCAGACTACTTCCTGGCTCCGGGCCCTGCTCAAAATGGTTTACAAACTACCAATCTCTGGCTGGGTGTGACTATTGTCCCCATTACACAGATGAGGAACCTAGAAGCCCCAGCTCTCTCACCCAGAGGTGGCAGAGACCCTGCATGGATACCAACTATCAAGCCTGAGTCTGCCCCAGACTCCCCTGCTGCCCAGCTTCTCGTCCCTGCATACCTGGGAAGAGCCCCTTCCCAGAGGGAGAGAGGATAGCAATGTACTCTGCAGACCCAAGCAGGGACATGCAGCAAACACCTCCTGTCCCTTCCATGACCAAGCGCCTGCATGATCAGGAGACACAAGTACTCAGGGGGTGCCTTGTCCTGCTCCACAGTCCTCCAAGAGGGAGGGCAGGAGTGACCACCCGCCATCTTTCAGCACCCCCCTCAGCTTCTCCCTCTGTGAAATAGGAATGACCATGCCCAAGCTGCAGATCATGGGATCCCTTCAGACAACAGGAAACAGGCTGCTCACACTGCTCCTGGACCCTGCCACATCCTCAAGAGGGAAACAACGCAGGAAGCCCATTGCCTGACCATGTCCCACAAGGACACAGGTGCAGGGCTGGTGGTCCTGTTCCTCCTGCTGGCCCTATCACCCCAGAGACCAGGAGCTGGTCACCTCAGAGCCCCCACCCAACCCACCCTCTTGCCTGGCCTCCTTCCTCTTCCTACCTACCTACTACCCTGTCTGTTCCAAGACCTGTGCCACGCCAGTGCCCACTGCAGGGACAGGTGCTCTGGGAGAAGAGTCAGGCTGATGAATGGCCCCAGGCACAGCAGAAGCTGAGACACGACACTTCAACCCTCCAAGGCCCATCTCAGGAAAAGACCACACAGGAAGGATGGGCACACATCCCCTCTGACAGACCTAAGCAACCCCTGAGTAGCTAGGGCCAGGTGGAACAATTCAGGTTAACCCCAAGGGGTTTGGGCACAACACAAACCAGGTCAGCTCTGCTTCTCAGGAAGCTGCTCTGCTAGAAATTCCAGTACAGGAAATGCCTCTAGCAGGAAGACAACATCCACCACAGGGAGGCCATGAGCCTGATGAAGGAACACCAAGAGGTCACAAGGCAGTCAGGACTGGCCACCAGGATGCCCTCCACAAGACTTTTTTCATTTTACCTTTATTTTCCTAATTTCTACAATAACAGATGATCACTTCTTCAGGAAGTGGGAAAGATTAAAAGAGTTCCCAACAGCCCTGAAGACCAGGTTTTTTCACAAGAACAGGTAGCCCCATAAGGAAGGACAAAGGGGGTAGGGTCCACAGAGTTTCCCATAAGACACCTGCAAAAGGGCAGCTCTGGGCTAAAGCTACCTGGAGGTGAGCAGGGGTCTGACCCTCCTCCACCCATGTGGAAAATGCCCACCAGGACATTCTTGTCACCACAGCGGAGGCCAGACACATGCCAGCCTTCCTCAGCCTCCACAGTCACATTTTCACTGTTACACACCCTTTGTTTGGCCCCTCATGGGAGCACTCAAGCCTCAGGGTCTCATTTCCCAGTGAAGTTACCATCTGTCAAAGTGAAATGTGCGTGTTCCTCTCCTGCTCATCTGCTTCACAGGGACTAAATCTTCAGACCCTGCAGAGACCCTGAGAAGACCCTGCAAGACAAGAGGAAAGCTTCTGCCCCCACACAGGACACCCAGCTCCAATGTGCACCCTGTGGACAGCAGCAGGAAGCTCCTCAGTCACTGGACACAGAGCCACTACCTGGCCCAGGCACTTCACCCCCAGTTTCATGCCCAGGAGAAGGAGAATGTGGCTCATGAGAAACGCACACACACATTCATGGCAGAACTGCTCAAAGTGCCCAAAATGAAAACTAGGCAGACACAGAGGCCTCAGGCTGCTGAGTCTGTTGCTCGGTCCAGATTAGCAAGGCCCAAATGAGGGTGGGAAGACACTAATAATGGCACAGACTTTCTTCCAGGAGGTGACAAAATGTTCTGTGCTCCAGCCTTGCCAGCAGAGACACTCCCTCAAAAAAAAAAAAAAAAAAAGAAAAGAAAAGAAAAAAATCACAAGATAGTGGTGATATTTACGCAACTCAGGAAACATATTAAAGACTATTAAATTATACACATTTAAAAGTGAACTTTAAGATATGTAAACGATATCTCTATTAGAAAGTAAATAGACTACAAAAATTTGTACAGGCCTTCTGATTATAACAGCATAAACATTAAAAATGAAAAAAAAAAAAGAGAGAGAGAGAGAGGCGCGGTGCGGTAGGGGTGCTGCTCTCAGCCTTTCCCTTGAAATTGGTTTGCCCAGTGGAGGTAAATGAAGTTGCCACCTAAACCAGAATGTATAACTCAATAAAAGCAAGACTTCCCAGCTCAGAGCTGTCCCCTGGGTTCTGGCAGGGAGGTTGGTCTTCCACACCCTTCCTCCCCATGAGCAGAATGGGCAGACTGGCAGTCAAATGGTACCCCACTCATTCTGTGGGGGTCTACCTCACCCCAGGGGCCTATGCTACCTAGACCAAGCAGTGATGTTTGTAGGGGTTAGGCCCAGGGAGAAAGTTGGTTGAGATAAGCAGGTGCAGGGGTGACCCTGGGCTTCCAGAGCTAGAAAGGGTGTCCCTTGGGAATAGCAGGAAGGTCAGCCAGCTGTGACACCCACCAGCCATCAACGCCCCTCCATCAACGGACACGTCAAATAACGCGTGCTATTTAACCTAGACTTTGCCTCTTAAGTCAGCAGAGCCTAAGTATTTACTAACTGGCCCGCCACAGAAAGGTACCAGCTCTGGGGTAAGAACAAAGGTGGAGTCTGTTGCCCAGCAACAGACTCTCTAGGCAAACTGAGCCTGCTGGGCTGGGAGGGGCTCCACACTTGGGTGGCTGTGGGGAGCAAGGCCAGGCAGCAGTATAGGTTGGAAAACAACCTGCTTAGGTCAGTGGCCTGAGGCTGCTGCCCTCAGTCTCCTGGCCATTTTCTCTCTGAGTCCCGTGGACAGGAGCATCCACCCCAGCTAGAGCTTCACCACAGGTGAGATGCCAAGTGAGCACCATTCTGACAAGACAGATAGAGACCTTGGAGGAAAGGAAAGAGCTTTTCTCCTGCCTTTTGGCAAGGGGCACCTTCGCTTTGCACTAGGGTCAACAAATTCTGTAGCCAACAGGCCTGGAGGCAGCAGACAGGTGAAGGTGCAGCAGGAAGTAGGCAGGACACAGGATGGGAGCACAGGAGCTGACCCATCAGGGAGATACTCTATCAGGGAGAAGCAGAACAAGCAGGTGCCCTCAGCCCCAGGTGGCCCCACGACATTGACTAGCCCTGGCTCTACCACTGCTTTGTTCTGTGTCCCTGAGCAAGTGGCCTGGCCTCTCTTCCTCTGTGCAGCAGGGTCAGGATGACAGGTCACTGCAGAACTGTGAGCACCAGATGGGGGCTGGAGAGGGTTAACCAGAGACTCAGGAAAACTGAAGAGCATGTTCACTTAACCCTCCCTCCCCCAGAGGTTCTTTCCTTCATGCAAGCAGTTGTTGAGGCCTCTTGTCCAAATGCTATGGGCTGTGGGCTCTACCCCAGGGTCCAAGATTTGGACTACAGATCAGGAAGAGCAGCTGGCCCCAGATGCTGGGGGGGGGGGGGGGGCTCCAAGCCATTACTAGGAAGAGAGGCTCCTAATTTGTTCTTAACACCCCCCCTGGGTGAGTCAAGGAACACACCTGCCTTGGGTTTAACAACTTCTGAAAGCAGCAGGTGCCTGCACCTCCCTAACCACCCCCCCAAGCCTCCTCCCCACCTGCCCTAGAGACAAGAAGGGCAAGAGTGTCTTCCAGGCCCTTGAGCGATCCAATTAGCAGGGCTCAGGTAGGGCTATTAAGCAGGAGACAAATTATTGTTATTATTGTTGTTATTAGGCACACCCACCCCTGGGAGGCCTGCTTGCCAATTAGCCCCTTTCTTCTGCTGCCAATCTCACCTCCTGCGGCAGCTCCCCTGGCTCCCCTGCCCCTCAGAAAGGAAGCGTCTACTCCTAGGCGCCACTCAAGTTCTCCCCAGACCCTTCTCCCTGACCTCTGCCCAGCCTCTTCCCCCTGACCAGCTGGACACCCTTCCCGCCCTTGGGACCCTGAGCAAGTGCCCACCTTCATCTGTCAGCACTCAGACCCCACTCTCCCCACTCCCCTAGGCCCTCACTTCCCCCCACAACAAGCCCTCCCTGTCCCTCTGAAGTGACCTCCCCACAACACAGACCAACTCACTCATCTTTGTAAAAGGTCACTAGGTTCAAGCTCCCCATGAAACCCTGGGCAAAGGCTGTGGACAGCTACTCCCCAGGGACAGAACAGGACAGACTCCATCTTGGTGGCCATGAAAAGGAAGCACTTCACGCCCACTGGTGTAATAAAAAACAGAGAACCTGAATGCAGATGAGGAGGAGGAGGAGAAACAAGAGCCCCAGCACTGCTGCCATCAAGTTCACGGAAAGGTCAGGCCCAGAACCACCACCACTCCACACCCAGGTGGAGACACTCACCCAGGGACACTCTGCACACAAATGCTTAGGGCAGCATCCATCACTCCTGACAGGGGGACGCCACAAATGCCCACCAACAAAGGGACGAGCAAATGTGGCATGGCCTTACAAGGGAATATGGCTCAGCCACAGCAGGCAGGGCAGCTCTTGACACCTGCTACCACACAGATGACCCTTGGAAACACTACTCTTTGTAAATTAGCAGACACATAAAACCACAGAGCCCATGGCTCTGCTTAAAGTCCAGAAAAAGCAAACCCACAGAGAAGTAGCTTAGAGCTTCTGTCCCGCAGCAGGGGAATGGGAGGTATGTGTGCTCAATGGGTACCGAATTTCTTTTTGGGATTGAGGTTCTATAATCAACTGACACACAACTCAAAGCTAAAACACACTGAATTGGACGGACTATGCCCTGTGGAGTCTTATCTCAATACAACTGCTATTGACAACAAACAGCCAAGCCCAAAGGTTCACTACACTTGAGTCCAAAATCCAAATTCCTGCCTCCACTGTGTCCAGGTACCCTGCAAACCTGCTTCCTTGGCCCCAACTCCCTGCTCCCTCCAGGACTTCTGGGGCGCCCACCAGTCTGTTCCTTCTCACCTTTCAAGGGTCTGCTCAAATGTCACCTTCTCCCTGGCACATCCTACACCACATGGCAGGGTCTGCTCCTGGCCAGTGTCATCAGAGTTCCTAACCTGGAGTCTGCATTTGCTCCTGGTCACTCTGCTCCCCAGGGACAAGTGCCAGGCGTGCCAGGCACCTGCCACCCCAGTACCCATGGTTGGTGCTTAGAACCTACTGACCAGTAGGACCCATTAGTGCTGCAGGGCCAACCCCTCCGCTCCTTTCTTCGGCACTGCCCACAAGCAGACCCTCTGCTCTCCTGCCAGCTCCTTCCCCACTTACTTTTCCTGTGAGTGCCTCCCTCCAAGCCAATACCCCCCCAACCACACTCCTGCCCCTCCTACCTAGACCCCAGGCAGGGTGGGTCTACATCTACACGGCATCCCGCACCTAGCCCTCAGCCCAGGGGCAAGGCTTTGCTGTTGGAGGACACCTCTGACACCACTGGAATATCATGCCTGCTTTTCTCAAGGTTCCTGTTTACCCCACAGTGGGTGACAGGTCTATGGAGAGCCTTTCATCTTGTTGGACTCAGGCCTGGCAGATGATGTTCTAGAAGGTGGCCTGACTCCCTTCAGGCTGAGGGTTATTCAGACTCAGGGCTGAAGCTGAGCAGCACTTCAGTGCTTTTTCTCTTCTGCCTTCCACCCTTTCAGTCTCTTCCTCTCTGGGGTGGGGGTGGGAGTTAACCAGTGGGGCATCTAAGTTCCATCTATTTTGAGGCTTTACTTTTCCCAAACACCTGATAGCTGCACCAGCACAGCAGTAACTGCCCCACACTCTTGTCATAGTCGCCTTCCTGGGAACACAATGGGTGCAGCCAAAGGCAGTAGGAGGGCAGGGAGGCAGAGTACAGCCAGGCAGACAAGGCACAGGCTCCTAGGCCCCACCTTCTCCACCAGGGAGGAGTATGGGGAGAGGAAGGGGACCTTCACACACTGTCACATGCAGCCCACTCAGGGAAGCTGGGTCAGAGCTGCCATCAGCACCTAAAGACCTTATTTAGGTGAAGGCTCCCAATTCTTAAAAGGTGGTATAACTGAAAATTGTTTAAAAAACAAACAGAACAGTCTTCGGGCCACCTCAAAAAAACTACACTATGGACCTTGGGTAATAATGTGTCCATGTAGATTCACTGACTGTAACAAAGGTGCCAATTGGAGGAGGAAGCTGATGTGGAGAACAGTGTACAGGAACTCTCTGTACCTTCCACTTGACTCTGCTGTGAACCTAACAAAACTGCTCTAAAAATGTAAACTCTTGGTTGTGGCTCACCCCTGCAGTCCCAGCTACTCGGGAGGCTGAGGTGGGAAGATGGCTTAAGCCCAGGAGTTTGGGAGTGCTATGAGCTGAGCTAATGCCATGCACAGCACTCTACTCTGGATGACAGAGTGAGACACTATCTCAAAAATAAATAAAAAATAAAACTTTTATACAAAACACCACCCCCATAGGCCCTCTTACATTCCATCATTTCTGGAGTGTGACTCTACCCAGGCCCTTGCCACATGGCCCCTTTGGCCTCTCTGGGACAGAAAAGTACAGTGCACAAACCCCCCCAGGCCCAGCAGAAACACCTCCCTGGTAAGCCCTCCTGGATCGCTCCGTCCCTCAGCTCCGAGGTTCTCTCCTACCCAGCAACAAGGTTCTCTCTCATCCATGTCACACTTGACATGCACAGATACCAGACCCAGGTGCATGGAACTAGGATCATAGGAGGACCCATCCTTGTCCCCACCGCCACCCAGGGAGAGGAGGAAGGCGCAGTGCAACACCAGAACAGGCTCTGGGGCCAGCCAGGATCAGAACCATACCACCAGGAACCAGCCATGTGGCACGA